CACTGAGGAGAAAGTTTTCCAAGTCGATAAGGTGGCTTACTTTTATTTCTGCTGCACCTGTTATCATCAAGAGGCAGACTGACAGAGGAATATTAAATATAATATTAAAAACAGAAATTCATTTCTATAAGTAACCACCACTGCATTCATGTTGTGTTAATATGCATATGCTTCCAATATGCTCTTGTTTTTCTTGTCATTGTTAGTACAACTGATGTAGCATTGTTTGTCCAACTCACTGTGCGAGTATCCAGCTTTTCCTCCGATGACATGGTACATGAGAGAGACAAGATCAGTTCATTAGAGGGATACAAACACAACCCTCCCCCCCCCCCCCCCCACCCCCCGTGTGTCACTCTCTAAAGCCTGTACACACACAGGGTGCACCCTCAGGACCTGTATTCCTTGTATGACATTTGCTAAAGATACACAGCTACTGCATCTCGGCACACAAGCTAATCTGCAAATTTTCAAGCTCCCTAATAGCTCCTTATTTCCATACAATGCATAGTTAAAGCTGCTCTAATCAATGTTTTTACATAAAGCATGGGTCAAATTACTGTGTAACGTGAAAGGGGTTGTTCGAAGCGATAAACCCACAGAAAATTATAAACCAACTCTGCAGATTCCTTCAACTCTACAGAGCTTTTTAGGGTCTTTCAGTGCACTGTTTTTGTTTTACAGCTTTACATCAATCAACGTCCTCAACCTTATTTTCAGCAAAAATAGCACCAGCAGATGACATGGCACCCCAAATCATCACTGACTGTGGAAACTTCACACTGGACAACTTGGATTCTGTGCCTCTCCAATCATTCTCCACACTCTGGCACCTTGATTTCCAAATGAAATGCAAAATTTTCTTTCATCTGAAAAAGGTCTTTGGACCACTAAGCAATGGTCCAGTTCTTTTTCTCCTTGGCCCAGGTAAGACACTTCTGATGCTGTCTCTGATTCAGGATGCCACACACCAGTGCCTGGTGGCTCTTGATGCTCTTGATGCTCTGACTCCAGCCTCAGTCCACTCATTGTGAAGCTCCCCTAAGTTCTTGAATCGGCTTTGCTTGACAATCCTCTCAAGGCTGCGGTCATCCCTGTTGCTTGTACACCTTTTCCTTCCACACTTTAACCTTTCAGTCAACTTTCACAGCACTCTGTGAACAGCCAGCCCTTTTAACAATGACCTTCTGTGGCTTAAACCCTTGTGGAGGGTGTCAATATCTTCTGGACAACTATCAAGTCAGAAGTCTTCCTCAGGAATGTAGTTGTGTATTGAACCAGACTGAGAGATTAAAGGCTCTTCTCAGGTTGACATTTAATTCTTTACTCTAATATTTTGAGACATGGATTTTTGATTTTCATGAGCTGTAAGCTGTAAACGTCAAGATTAAAACGAAAAAGGACCTGAAATATTGCTTTATAACTTTATGTGTAATGAATCTAGAATATATGAAAGTTTCACTTCTTGACTTAAATTAAAGAAAAATCACAATATTGTAATTGTCTGAGGTGGAACTGCACATTACAGGAAACACACCTGCCATGTGAGGTTGATTCGATAAATTGTAGACAAAATACTAAAGGTAATACACAATTTCAAAACATGTCAGTATGGTTTGGAAAATGATTAGTTATCAGTTGTAAAGTCATTTGTAGTAAATGGGCTAAAATCTGATATACAGTTGGACTCCAGTTTACTTTCTCAGTAGTTACAGAACTTATGTTCCAGCCCTGAGACCTTTGCCCTCTCTTCTTTCAGTAGCCTACCGACAGGCATGGGGACAGTTTGTGTATGTTTGTGCATTTGTGCGTAAGTGTGTGTGGGTGGCTGTGTGACTGACTGGGACACTAATGAGCTGAATGATTACAGTGGAACGCCTCAGGTTATCATTAGCTCCCCGAGGATCAAACACCAGATCAAGCCAACAGCAGGGCGAGAGGGTGAAGAGATGCAGGCCACAATTAGATATTTGTTTTTCCACAGGAAAAGTAGAAAATCCATAAGAATGTGAGGAAGGAAATAAATTATCGCATTTTTTGCGTGCAAAGCTAGATGGGGGATGTTTGATTCTGATCAAAAAGCAACTGAAAAATTCACAACATGCCTCAACAGTTGGGCACAAACACAAACCCTGACTCATGTATATACACTCATCCACAAAAGGCATTAGTAGCCTCCTCAATGGGCTCCCTCAGACAATGAGGACCAACACCACACAAGAGGAATATTCTCTCATCACGGCTTAGAGGTTTTGCAGACAGCTTTGATTGTCTCGCTCTTGCCTGTAATGAGATGGCTGCTTGCTTCACGTCTCCATGAGAACGTCTGTATTTCCACACACAAATATTAACCCAACAGCCTCAGGTACCAGTCCCCATGCAGTCACTGCTCATTGCCACCGCTGAATAAAAGATAATAAAAGACATGCTCAGGTACTTTGGTTGTGATCACCTCTGCTTTTCCTGACTATAGTTAAAGAAGTTTAACAAGTTCAAAGATAATTCCACTATGACACAACTTTTTGTAGTTTAGGCATTAAGTGCAGCAGGGAAAGACCGAGTGGTCAGACTATCAAAAAGACTGTAAACAAGCCAATCATTTCACCAGAGCACCTAAACCACTTCATTCAGAGGTAAAACTGAAACAGGAGGCACTCAAAATGGTGATGATAATCCCTCCTTTCACAGGAAAACTGCGTACACGCACACGACTAAAGGTAAAGGTTTAACCAGGAAGTCAGTCCGTTACCTGTGATCGATGTTTGCAATGGACAGTCTGGGAAATAACTGCACATTGTTTTTTATTGCATATATGTTTGACTAGTCTGGGGTTGTTTAAAGGGCCACTCTACCAATTTTAGGCATCAAGTTCAGGAAATTACAAACCTGTCCTGTGAAAATGGGATGTAGTGTTTTTGGAGTTTGATGCACATTGTCAGAATGTCTCTGCTTCTGCTGCTTTGATTTAAAAACTCTTTTTCTTTTTTAAATCTGTCACTTGTGATGTAAAAGATGTATGATTGTTTATGTTGAACTTCTTAAAGCCCTTTCATCATGTTCCTGGATCACAGTAATTCATTTGGTTAACTAGAATAGGAATTGAGGCCAAAACTAAGAAAATAAGAAATTGCAATATACCAGAACTATCCTTTAAGGGTCATATCATTACCTTTTTCAGCTCTACTTTATTGCAACTTTATTGCAACTATGTGCAATGACGTCTACAATTGGATAGAATGAAGGATGGTTCCTTGACAGGCCTCTCTCGACTGGCTTCCCTCCCCTCCTCTTCACTTCTATTCCTCTCTTTATCCTGTTCTCCCTTTCTTTGGAGGCCCTCCGGACCCCATCAAGGCTCAGTCTGTTCATCCCACATGTGAGGGGTCAGTGCGTACCCCACAAGAATAAACCAGCCACTCAATGTGAGGATCTTTGTGTATATCCTCATCCCCCTACTTTCTTTCTCTCACTCTCTCTCGCTCACTTACTTGTGCCCTATAGACAAGAATTGGCTTCATTCACAGCGCTTCCCTCCCCCCCTGGAGCGGACTTCTCAGGGTCCTAACAGCGCAATTCTATGCCTTATTGCTCCAGCTCCTCCATGGAGAACAGTCTCGTCAAAGCATTTGTGAAGACACAGACGGAAATGAACTGGCTTTGTGCTTAGTCTTGACATATAGGCAAGATCACGTGGTGAAGACTGTGGGGCAAGCGTTTCACAAGAGAAAAGGGCAGAATGTGTAAAATGCCTCTTAAAGGCCTCCAAGTGGCCACCATGGAAGGAAAATGCCATCACCTATTTAGAAATGAAGCAGTTTTATGAGTTTGGCCCCGCTGGCTGTCATCCAGCTTAATCCACATTGTGTTCTGACTTCCTACGGACCAAAGCTGGTTTCTGAAGCTCATCTCCACCTCATGTTTAATCTCCCCCGGCTCTTTCATTAGGACCACACCATGTGTTGATTCTAAAGAAATGAAGCGGACACCTCATTTCGAGCAAGAATGAGCTGGAGAAGGCTTTTGTCCGCAGCAGGAATGCCCATAAGACAGAGAGGAACACTGTTTGGTCTGACTCGGGTTGCTATACCAGTGCTGAAGAAAGCCATGGCAACGCAAGCAGAAGGTCTGCCGGACCACATAGCGCTCATACAATACAGCCGCTCTGGGTTTGTCATTCCAGTCAGGCCTGACCCAAATTACGACATACTTGGTAAAAGTGGCCCACTTCAACCAGCGCACATGCACATATTTAATACTACTTACTTATTACTTGTGTATATTTGGCTGATAGCAATAATGTACAAAACATATGGACGTTTGAAGTTTAATCACTGAGGAAACTGCTCTGTTAATGATTTAAAACCACAGTCCGTAGCCCATGGCTGCTGGATTATTGGGACTTTCCAATTGTTTACTAAACATGTCTACAAGCCACTTTTCCATCCACGGTTATAATTCTCAGCAATTTAAGCTTAATAGCCTTTTATGTTTTCATGTGTTTATTATCTCCTATCAACAGCCTCAGGGAAAAATCTGCTTAAAATGGGAAGAGCAACAAAGAAGCGATTAGGACCATGTCTACAGAAGCTTTTCGCTAAAATATGAAACAGAAAAACGAAAAAGAGAAATATCAGGAGAAATGCACAAATGCAAATAACTGTTTTGATCACCAGAGAAACTTTAACTGAGTTTCTCATGCAACATTACCCAAAGTTTTCTTATAGTGAGATTTAAAGACCTTGAAGGGTTGATATTGGCAGCTCTGGAAATCACATAAATCCCACCCCCAACAGACACACAGATACACACATTGAGAAACACACACCAAAAATGGCTTTCATGCCATCTGTACCACCGAGTCTTTCTGCACAGAACACAGTTCAACTCCAAACTTTTCTGCTTGCTTTCCTGCTCAAGTGAACACCTCACCATCGCATCACACCTACCCAACGAAAGCAATGCATCAGTAAGTGTGCACCCAGAAAAGAAAATCCACTTACTTTATTTTGGAGGTCTGGTAGTTGTATATCAGAGCTTGAAGAAGTAGTTTCTCTAGTCTCTTTTCATCTGCACCTCTGCCCTGCTGCCTTGTCTCTCCAATACTATTTCTCTTTGTGGGCTGAGCATGCGATAGCTGTGTAGTTTTTCTTTTTCTTTTTTGTGTGTGTTGCATGGGGTGAGGGGAGGGTGGTGGAGTGGGTGTTGAATGCCGGGTTTCCTGACTCGTGATCAGGAGCTCATTACCCCCCAAGGTCACTCCAGGGACACCCTGCCTGGCACTCACTGAGACACCAGAGAGAAGATGTGAGATGGACGATGAGAGTGTGAGAGAAAGAGAAAGGGAGAGAGCAGTTAAGAGCCAAAGTGCCTGGGAGATCCGTGGGGACGAGGAGAAAGAGCTGGGAGAGAAAGGATACACACAGATACATATAAACAGAAAGAGAAGGGAGAGATTGAGAGACACTGATCCAAACGCCAACAGATAGGCAGATTCAGGAGCTGTGAGCAAAAACAACAACAAAATGCAACTGTAGGAGCCTTGGATGAGCCCACGGAGTGAGCAAGCTAGGAACAGCAGCCCAGTCAAACCACACAGAGTTATATAAAATATCTTGTTGATCCATGGAAAAGTGAGTCCAACCACAGCAATCAATAAAATATTGACAAACACCAGCTGGGCTCTGGATTTGTTTTTCAGCTTTTGTGTGTTTCTGTCACTTCACTGAATGGTTGTCTTTAAATGTGTTTTTTTTTTGTATTCTGGTTTTGTGGTTGTCTCATTTCTAATGTTTTTTGTTCTCAGATCTGTCTCTGTAGAAAAAAAAATCTTTATCTCAGCGAGACTGCATGATTACAGTGAAAAAAGTGCCCACAATCAATGCTTTTCATGACAACTTAAAGCTGCAATGAGATGAACATTACAGGGTTGAAACTAATGATTATTTCTATTGCAGAATAAACTATCAATTGCTTTTTTTGAATAAATAGATTAAACATTTAGATTTTAAAATGTTGAAAAATATGAAAAATATGCATCACAGGTTATATGTTCAACCATGTTGTGTGTTCTTAGCTGGCTTGCTAACATTAGACACTGGTAAATGTTTGCCTTGTGGAGGCTCTAAAAGATCACCAAAGTCAGTGGGATCATAATCTGGGAACCATGAAAATCTATACTGAATGTTGTGCCAATCCATCTAGTAGATGTTGAGATAATTCTCAGGAGAAGTGACCTGCTGATGGCACTACAGGACAAGTCAGAGTCAAAGTCAAAGTCATTAAAGCCATTCATCCTCTGGGGACCGTGAATTTCTGTAGAACATTGCATGGCAATCTATCTAATAGTTGTTACAATATTTCTGTCTGGACTAAAGTGTTGTGTGACCTACCTACAGACGAAGCAATACTGCCATCTATAGAGCCGTGTGTTAGCATGGTTATAACAGAAGATGACGGGTGTGAGGCTTTGGAGTTGTGTGAAGGCACTTTTGTCAGAACTGGGCTAAGTAACTAGTGCTGTAATCAGTAATGTAACCAATTACTTTTGCTGATGAGTGATTAGTAAAATAATTACTTTTTGCAAGTAACTTTGGCTAATCTTTTCAGCCCCAAACCAAACGCCAGTCGTACTTGATTATAGATCTGAGTGGCTAATTTATCACCAGAAAAAAAGTCAGCAGGGTATAAACTTTAATGGTAACAGTGAAAAATGAGGCTCCTGTTAGGTTTTGTTTTGTGTGCAGAGCCAGGAGTGGACACAGACAAGGAGGGAATAGTATATGCAAAAAGAGTTTTTAATGAACAAATGATGAATGGGCGACGGGGTCTGGCTGGGCAGATGAAGGCAGGCTGGCTGAAGGGGTGTAGTTAGACTAGGGTTGGAGCTGAAGCGGCAAGTGGTGAATGGCAGAGCAAAAATGTTGGAATCCTGCAGCAGAGAAGAAACATATTTTAGAAAAGTCCCAACGGTGAAAAAAATCATGAAAACACACAAACAGTGTCACTGGAGAAGTATTGGCCGATGAAGTCAGGTGAGGAGACGAGTTAGGTGCCAGGCGCCAGGCACGCCCGTAACACATAAACACAGACACACAGACACACAAGGGAGGAGGAGAAAGGGAAAACACAGGAAAACTGGAGTCACAGCCAGAGCTGTGATAGATCCTTTTAATTGTCAAGCTCTAGATCATTAAACCTGAGACTCATTTGTACAGTTGTTTTCCGGTTAATTTGTAGTCTCTCTCTTCCTCTCATGTTTCTGGTTAGATCCATTTTAGCTCTCATTTGTGGCCAGATATCCTTTTAGAGGGAGTGTGGTAATAAGTTGTGGATATACTCTAAGGGTGTTTGGAATGGCAGATGGCTGGAGATGACCCTATAGAGCAGCCCAGGCACTCTGCCACAGCTGGACAGGCCTAGATCGACAGATTACAGCACACACAATCAATAAAGTCTACCATTAGCTCTCTCCACAAAGCCTTGTGTACTGATGTCAGACAGTCTCTGTAAACTCTCTGTAGTCCACGCACAGAGAAATGGCCTTATATTTCAACTTATAAGGCTGTCTTTGTTGTGAATTATTTTGTAGCATTATAGCCTAAATTGTTATCATTAATTACTAGAGCAATGGTGGTCTACATTGTCATTATTTAAAGTGTTATTTTATAGTGTAAAGTTAGGATCACAGTGTTAAAACTCTACAGCTCTGAGTGTATGTGCTCCTTTCTGTATCTAACTGCCCAGGCACACGTGTGTGTGTGAGCAAGTTCGTGTGCTTTGGGAGAAAAGGGAGGGAGCACAGTGAGGCAGCATCATAAACACGTGCAAAGGAAAATATAGAAGCAGATTTTGTGCAAATTGTATTACAAAACATACAGTCCATCACAGTAAGAATGTCCTGTTTCTAGCACAGAGCACAAAAAACAGCAGTTTATTCCACAAAAGTCAGGTTATGGATGAAATGGCATGATCAAGCAAAGTGCATGCAAAAGACAGGCAGGCAGTCAGGGACTTTCCCACCAAATGCTTAGGCACGTGAAAATCTTGGACTTTCCCAGATTCAGGAGCAGTAGGAAAGAGAGCCAAGAGATGATGTGAAGCCAAGAAACAGAGCTATAAAAGGAGGTCATTACATGTTTTTCATGTCGACTAGGGTCTCTGTTCTGGTAACAGAATGGGGCTCTATTTTGCACCGATCTCTGACACACTCCGGTGGAACTTTTGTATTCTAATTGGTGTCTGTTTTTGTTGATAATAAAAATGTTGGTAAAAGTTCAAGCTTTCTTATCTGGCCCAAGTCTTGAATTTTTACACGACATTATCTTTCTTGGCTTGGGTTTTTGATTGAGTGTCTAGCGAGAAAATACCTCATAGTACCAAAAAGCATGCTCTTTAGCTCATATTTATTACAGTAGATAACCCATTTTAGTGCCAGGGTCTGTTGTGAAGGTGCTGTTCAGAGCCATTCACAGTGTGATTATATTACACAATTTCAAGAACCATTAGAAACTGTAACAAAGACTCAAGATCATTAATTCAAAGCGATGGACAAATACAAACACTGAAACTTTGGTCTTAAAACTAGCACCAAAATCTTCTCACCAGAGCTGTTTTTAAGTTAAGTTAAATTTGAGACGAGTCAAGTCTCAGATCCTTAAGGTCAAAGTAAAGTCTCTATAAACAAATTGCATGAGGAGCATTAAAATGAATGCATGTGAACATTTTCCTTTTAAAGCTGGATTAAAAGTTGAGAAAACCTTTTCTGGAGCTTTTGATCATATCAAAATAATTTCATCAGCAGGCAGAGTTTGCCCAGTTTTCATGACACTGTGGATAATAAAATTTTTCAGAGCACTTTGAGGAGGTTCTTGGTCATATTCAAAGTTCATTGCAAGCAGCAGTTGAGAAAACAATCTCACCACAAGAAGCTGTTAATCACATGTACTGCAGAAGACAGAGTTTGTCCAGGCTGGATTAAAGATGTGCTTTCTTTCAGTGCACAGTCCTATTAGTTAAATATTCAAGATTTACATTTTGCCTAGCAACTAAAAGTTTGTTTCGAAAGTCATCAAAGAGGTTTTAAGTTGAAAAAAATAAAAAATTGGTGGGCAATAGGCTATCTGCAAAATAATGGATTCGTTAGTAAGGGGTTTTGAGATTGTTTGGGGTATCTGCCCAAGAAAGATATGGCCTCATCTAAAATCTAAATTAAGGTAGAAAATAGAAAAAAGGTATTGATTTGTGGACAAGAACAAGTATTTAAGTTACAAAGTTGAGAAATTGGAAGGATCACATCAGTGCACATATGGCCAAATGACATCAAAAAGCAATGTGTTTTCAGTCTACGAACAGGGAATGACAATCTAACCATTTTTCAAACCACTGAATGCAAAACTGTTTACTGTTACCCTGCAATTTGGTCCAAACTGACAAACCTTGGATGCTGCGTGGAGCTGTTAACACTGCAGTTCCACATGTTTAGCATCATGTTGCAGGGTTGGGATTTTAGCATCTGTCTCCCCCCACCCCACCCCATAACGATATTCCACTGCTCATGTTCAACTCATTAATAATACATTTCATCCATTTGCTTCCCCCCTCCAGCCCTCCCCTAAGTGTGCAATATGCTTTAGTGGCATCCAGAAGGAAATCCTCCGAAGATATCATTTCCCTCATTTGATTAAATGAGATATGATAAATAAAGAAAAAAATTATGACAAATTGTCCTTGATGGCTCTGTGAGTTGATTTTCTGTTGGGATGAAAGCACAAAAGGAGCTCCGGAAACCAGTTTACACAGATATAAAGGGTTTGAGTGAAATGTGATCTTTATATTACATCCAACAGATCCCTCGTTGTTTTTTCTCGCTTGCTACTGTCATTGTGAGCATGATCAGAGCCAGGGATGAAATCACCGTTAAGCCCCACTAACCCTTCTCGTTGAGTACGTGTCCACTGGCAGCCCAATAAGATGACGGCAGTGACTTGGCCTGTCTGCGGTGAGAGTCTGATGAAACCAAATGAAATCAGCCTGCCAAAATAAGCCACAGCATTTCATTCACTCTTTTTTTTAAAGTACTGCTCCATCGACTCTGCCTCCACCCCATCGTTCCCTGACACAAACACCACCAAGTATCTGCACAGATGAGAGCACCAGGAAATAGCAGAAAAGCAATTTTTCCACACCTTTATATAAAAGCAAGTATTCAATTTGTGCAACATGTCTGGGGAAAAATGGAGATTGAATATATGACTGTAGGAGAAGGAGAGGAAAAAGCTGTGTCTCAGAACATACTCTCAAATCAGTCAAAAGCTGTTTAGATATACACTGAACAAAATTATAAATGCAACACATTTGTTTTTGCCGCCATTTATCATGAACTGAACTCCGATGTACACAAAAGGCCTATTTCTCTCAAATATTCAAACAGATTCACAAATCTGTCAAAATCTGGGTTTGTGAGCACTTCTCCTTTGCCGAGATAATCCATCCACCTCACAGGTGTGGCATATCAGGATGCTAATCAGACAGATTGGGTATTGCACAAGTGTGCCTTAGACTGGCCACAATAAAAGGCCACTCAAAAATGTGCAGCTCCATCACACAGCAAGATGTCACAGATTGTTGCAAGTTTTGAGGGAACGTGCAAGTGGCATGCTGACTGCAGGAATGTCGACCAGAGCTGTTTACTCGTGAATTGACTGTTCATTTCTCTACCATAAGCCATCTCCAAAGGCGAGAATTTGGTATTACATCCAACCGGTCTTATAACCGCAGACCACATGTAACCTCACCAGCCAGGACCTCCACATCCAGCATCTGCACCTCCAAGATCGTCTGAAACCAGCCTCCCGGACAGCTGCTGCAACAGTCGGTTCGCATAAACAAAGAATTTCTGCACAAACTGTCAGGAACCGTCTCAGGGAAGCTCATCTGCATGCTCGTCGTCCTCTACTCGACCTGACTGCAACTTCGCACAGCCATTGAAGAGGAGTGGACCAACATTTCATAGGCCACAATCAGCAATCTGATCAACTCTATGCGATGGAGATGTGTTACACTGTGTAAGGCAAATGGAGGTCACACCAGATGCTGATTGCTTTCCGGACCACCCAGACCCCCCCAATACAGTGAAACAGCACATTTTCAAGTTGCCTTTTTATTGTGGCCAGCCTAAGGCACACCTGTGCAATACCCATGCTGTGCAAGAGAGTGTATGAGGACAAAATGCAGGAACAAAATGTCATGATATTGTGATTCACACAATGTACCCTGCTAGGCCACAAGTCTTATCAGACACAGGACAAAACACACATGGACAAACATACACACACACACACACACACACTGAACATCTGTGGGGCCATGACCGCCATTTAAATCTGTATCCAGCTAAATTTTGTATTCAGCTCTCTGCAGTCGAATTTATTTATATCGACCTTAAGTTTGTCTCAGAGGGCTTTGCAATCTGTACAGCATACAACACCCTGTATCCTTCCAGCCTTTTTTTGGATAAAGAAGTACTCTACACACAAAAAACCAAGCCAAGGAAGTCACTCAGGAGATTTCAGTGAGTCCAAAAGGTTGTCTGAAAGGGGGTCCAGTGAGCAGAGTCGTGTGGAAGCAGGAGCAGAGCAGAGGCAGCAGGAGTCAGGAAAACAGGGTAAGCAGAGTTTCAGAGCCATTCTACAGAGACTGTCAAAAACTGGCTTGAGCATGACTGGCTAGAAACGTTAGCCTACAATCTGCCGTTGACTGGAGGAGAGAGCCGGCATCAGTAATAGCAGGTCTAGATGGATCTGATTGGCTGGCCACTGGTACTTGACTCCCACATACTTGACTCCACTCCTGTAATTAGACAGGGGGAAGGGAGAAGGAAAAAACAGGGCAATATCTATGCTCCACTATGCTCACCAGTCTGTGTTTGGT